GGTTTGGATAGCTTTTTTCCCTTAATAAATAAAATCATCATTTAAAAACTGCAAACAAAAATTTTGATTTTACTCAGGTTATCTTTGTATAATATTAAAATTTGTTTGATGATCTAAAACATTTAAGTGTGACAAATATGCAAAAAAATAAGAAATCAGAAAGCGGGCAAATACTTTTTACTTTTTCGTTGAGAAATAGTAGTAATAGCAGTAGTAGTAGTCACAACTCAAGATCCACTTACTAACTTAATTTTGAGCTTTTAACCACATTATCATACAGTCTTCATCAGAAGGAGATTTGCTTTCTTCCTTAAATCATCTTAAATCATCCTTTACTTTTAAAAAATTATGGTTGAGAAGTCTTTAAAGTGCTATGCATAAAATTATAACAGCTGCTGAGCTTGCATGTCAATCAGAGTACCATTCACTGATGAAGACTGTGATTATGGTTGAAAGGGCTGGAAAAAGATAGGAAGTGGACCTTGAGGTGGGGTTGTTGTGCAGTGTAGAATGAGAATAAGGTGTAAAATCGGACATAATTTCTAAAAAAGTTAATAAAATCTACACAAACATCCATCATTTAAAGGCCACAGCAACGAGACTAAATGAACATTGATTAAGCTAGTTGCTGGCATCTTAATTTATTTAGATTAGGCTAAGTCACAATTAGCCAACTGGGTTAGCCAGCTCGTAGCTTCCTCCAGCCAGATGGGAGATGTGCATCATGTCCTGTCCTGTGGTCTCCTCCAGTCAGTTGTGGCCACTACAGCTCCAAAAGAGAAGAGCTTTTTCTTCCCAGGTGGACGAACCGCCTCAGCTGGCTCCTCTCAAAGTGAAGGAGCAATTGCTCGACACACAGAGGTCCACTTGGTTCACTGAGCCTCCTCACCCTGTCGTGATTTGTTAACATTTTAATACGTGTCCATTTGCTGTTTTCTTTGATATTGACCCTCTGCCATCCATCCAATTTGTTCATTATTTTTTTTGCATGTTTAATAATTACAGTTATGTCTTCAACTTTCAACCACAAAGTCAAAGCTATTTTGAGGAAGACATAGTGTTGTATGTCACTCTTTTTAAGGTTCCATAGCAAATTCAAGACCCAATTACCACTGAACCATTGTTTGTGACAGAATAGATTTAAGAAGAAAAAAAAAGCTTTTCAAGAATGATGAGTATGTTTTAATGAGGCCAGTTCCTGCAGCAGATGCTCAAGAGGTCATTTGTGAGAGAGGTCGCAGTGGGTACTGGGTTTTGGAGGGTATGAGCTCATCTCCTTGGCAAAGATTTTGTTCTCAAGTGAGTAAAGGAGATCATACAGATTGCTAGTGGGGCGCAGCAGCTGAGGTAATACGAGAGTTGTATCCAGCCATTACAGTAAAGTGAGAGCTGAACAATAAAACTGCATGCATGTGTCTTGCCCTCATCTGTAATCATAAGCCAAACGAGAGAGACTATAAATGAGGTTTCTCTGTAGGTATGGGGTTTTTATTGTAGCAATATTATCTCAGTCCATACGTGCATACTCAAATCTGTGAACATGTACAAGAATCTATAAATGCAAAGGTTTGTGAATACCAATACAAATATATGTACCCATGTACCTATGTAGGATTGACTACTGAAAACATATGAGCAGTCATCTTTGTGTCAAGATTCAAAGAAGGCATTTCTGGGTGATGATAGATTCAGAAACCAGAGTTGACTTGATATTTATTTTACATATTTCCAGTAAAACCCGAATGACAAATAATGACAGCAAACATGCTCCTGAGCTCAATTTGTACCAGCTCAGCCCAGTCTGTGCACCAGGTGTGCAGATCTCACTTTAGCCTGCAGGGTTGGGACGACTGGGGATGGATGCTGTCCATGGTGCTGAAATGTAGTACTACTGAGCTGTAACTATTCCAGAAAAAAGTTATAACACTGGGTAAACATGTAATCTATAGCTGGATAATGACTTCTTCTTACGTACACCTGGTATTAATAATTCTCATTATTTCAGTTCACAAATATGCTGCGATCCAATCTCATTATGCAAATTAGGTTTGTTTTTAACTTTTTGCAAGGCAGCTTGAGATAACAGGAGGAAGACTTACTTTTCAACTTGTTGAAAAACAGAAAGAAAAATCTGAAAATGTGGTTACTTGAAGAAAGGTTTGAAATGTGCTGCTTTAGGCATATGGCATTCAATACATATAATTAGAAAAGCAATTTAGAAAGTGATCTCTTGCTGTTCTTTGACATTCATTCACAAAGAAAAATTAACTGCTAAGAAAGGTTGGTATTCTTGAATTCCCCCATTTATTAAAGTGCCAGCATCTTCATACCCACTAGCCTCACTAACTTGTGTAATTGTGCAAGTGTTTTGTCTGTTTGATGAGGTGTCTGATTTTAAATTGTGAAATTATTATACAGTTAAGATATCCATATGCTTGAAGATTGAATGTCATTACCAGGTGTACTTGTCTACAGTAACTACACCCAACACATAAACCTGGGTTTTTCTTTGTTTGTTTTATGTTTTTGGGCCTTTTTACCTTCTTTTTATAAGATAGGACAGCTGAAGATAGACACGAAAGGAGGTAGAGAAATGGGATGACACGCAGCAAAGGGCTGCAGGTCAGATTCAAATCCATTGAGCATGCAGAAAGGACTCAGCCTTTATACATGGGGTGCTCACCAGGTGAGCTATCAGGGCGCCCCAAGAGTTTTTATTTTCAAGTTATAATTTAGTATCGGTTTTCTGGTCACTGACATTGACAGTTTTCATGATGCAGGTCCTAGAGTTTATTTTCAAATGACATGTGTATTGGGGCAGCAAACACACCTTGAGCAGCTAATCTGTCAGATATGCATCACTGTGGATCTCATCAAGTACATGCATGCATCGTTTGAATTCCTTGAACTTTGGTACACTGTGTGAATCCTGTGCAGGAAACTGTTTTCAACATAACAATTACAGAATGTTTTGGGTTGTCTTGCATGTATATAGTTATCAATCATAATTTGTGATTTTAAAGTTGGGTATCACGTAGGTTATCTTGACTTGTGGAAAAAAAAAACTTTTCTAGTGGACTAGTGCTTGGAAATCAATGTCCCCCTGCTGATAACACCGCACCAAGTGAAAAACTGTCAGACCTGTGTGTCCGCACACAGAGGTCTGGCAGTTCTAGAGGGTTTGAAAGGAGTCATTCTTCTTTCCTGTTAGTTGTATTTCCTCCAGCTGGAGAGTATTTCAGCTTCTGTAGCCATTTCAACAGAGCTCTGTTTTTTTTGTATGTATTGCTCTAAATTGGCAAGAGCACCAGTAAGATTGAGACCACTTATCTGTTAAGCATTGAAAGGCTTTTGAAAGTGATGTTACCACAACATACCCACTGCTGCCAGTCTGAAAGGCTCAGAGCAGGAAGAAACTTCAACCCTGTGATCTTAATTGCCACCATATTCTGCCATATCTAATATTTCACAATTTAAAATCAGATACCTTATCAAACAGGCAAATACACTTTAATTTTGGTGAGGCTGGTGGGTAAAAAGAAGCTGACACTTTAATAATTGGAGGAATTCAAACTGCTAAAAGGGAGGATACAAACCTCTGCATAGATGTGAACAGGATGAGCCTCTGGGAGACATACAAGGATATATTCAGTATAAAGTTGTACCAGCCAGCTTTGCAGTTAATTTGTAAAAAAATATTAGAGAACAAACTTTTTAAAACCTCTTTAAATAAATGCCTTTCAAACATTTCTCCAAGCAACTGTGTTTTCAGATTTTGCTTTCTTTTTTGTTTGTATTGTATTGTCAGGTATTTTATGCCTTTATTACAAAGTTGACAGTAGGGGCAGATAACAGAAAAAGTGAGGGGAGCGAGAAGCATGGGAAAGTTAACACTGTTTTAACACAATAATGCCAAATAATAATAGCTAGAAATGTTTCTATAAGAAGCCACCATCTAATCTGAATAACTACCACAATTTCTAATCTTCCTGAGCTTTTTTATATGTTTATTGTTCTTTTTGTGTGGCTGAAGAAATGTAGGGAAAGCAATGTTACCAGAGAATAACAGTGTATAGAACTCTATATAGTTTATATATATAGTCTGTTTAGTTTAAAGGGAGCATAACACCTGAAGGAAATGAGGCAAGGGGGCTTTATAAAATGTGAAGGAAGAGGGTGGATAAGGATGATTAAGATGGCTTAGCTAATACACTTCCTCTGTTATTGGTCCCAAAAAATGTATAAATGTTGAACGTGCTCAGTCAGGGATAACAAGTGAAATGAAGGGATAAAGGGAAGAATCAGCAATCAGAGGATTTTTTCAGGTAGAGAGACTCAGAGAAAGATCGACTGTATTGGTGAGAAAAAGGATGTAGCAGTTATGAGCTCATTGTTTGCCGGCATTGTTTTGCCAGCGTGCCATTGAATTTTAAATAACTTGGCAGACAAGGTGGCAGACAACTGAATGAACGACATCGTTGAGAGGCAGTAATTGAAAGAAATAGAGAAGAGGAATAGAAGGAGTAAGAAGTTTTCATCTGACGGGAACAAAGTTTCTGAAGGATTAGCGAGATAGAAGCGAGAAAACGGAAGCTGGTAATTGCACGGCTTCTGGCCCCATGATATTATCTCTTCCTGACATGCGCGCATCTCCTATTGATACATGCAGGGAACATGAGCACGAAGCAGTTTCAGTGCCTTTATGTAATTTCCCTCCCACTCCTGGTGCATTTCTCTATGTGTCTTACTGATGACAGATACCAGATGACAAGGATGAATGGGGAAAGGAAGGAAAGAAGGAAGGAAGGCACATTACATTGCTCCTGGTTACACCTATATGTCCCTCTAAAATGGGGAATTTTGTCACACTTTGCTCTTTAACTCCAACATACACTTGTGGGGAGTTTTAACAGTGAACTTTAAACGTCAGGAACGTGAACAGAGAAAATACATTAAGTGCACTAATACTGTCCTATGTGTCTCTTCTCTCTCTCCCTCAGGCTCAGTGTCTCTCAGTGTATTCCTGGTGTCTGTTGCATTCGCAGTGTGTGCCGTTTGGCTGGTAGCTCTATGTGGCGTCTGCACCTGGTGTCAGCGTAAACTGGTAAGTTACAGTGCCTATTAGTCACATTTCCACAAACATATTTTAACATTTGTTCAAAATGTCCTCTTTGGGGATATTTTTGTGTTTACACTTATATTAAACTGTTTTGGGGGACAGACGGGCATATAAACGTTTCATACAACACAGAATAAAGAGAAGGAAAAACAACTGACCAAGAGACATTGGTAAAGACCATGATCATGTAAAATTACATTTTTTTTCTTTGTGGGCTGAATTCTGCTTGTGACCAGCAAGATTAGCATTTAGCTAATTAGCTGATTATCACTCATCCAGTTTCCTCCGTGTCTCCCATGCACACACATTATAATAGAAAAATGTTCAAAAAGTGTCATGTTGAGTAAAACAAGTTCTGTCTAATGGAATTAGTTTTAAATCTCTTTAGCTGTTTTATATTTTATATGTGACTGATCAAACGATTATGTAATTAATTAGTTGATTAACAAAAGTTGCAACTGTTTAAATAATGGATTCATCATTTCAGTGATGCCAACAAAAAATAACCCAAAGTCTAAAATATTAAATGATGTTTAAACATTACATAAACAGACCCAAATAAAATATTGTCTGAAATCAGAAATGTATTTAAATTACTATTTGATCAAAGAATAATTAACATTTACTGTCAGCTTTTGGTACTTTGAAGGTTTTGATAGTCACTGCTACAGAAACATTGCAGTCGGTATCCAAAACATATTGAGGTTCAATACTCAAATGGCTCTCATGAAAATTATCTTTCTTTACAACTTTACATTTTACAGTCTACCATGTTCTTTTCTAACATGTTTCTGAACACTATAGCATTGAAGATAAACTGTAGTTGTGTGGGCAGTCAGGTTTCCTTTTGATAATACTGTGACCTTGAATTGAATGTATACAGTTATTGCCTGCTATGTGTTATTGTTGTTGTTGAATAGTGTTTTTTTTGCTTCCTGTGCTCCCTGGCGCAGGAGGCAGAGAGAGGCTGTACGTTTGTCCATGACAGTAAACATGATCAGAGACCTTAGTGCTCTCTGTAAACATGGCTTTGTGCGCTCCGAGCTTTGTGCATCATGGCTGCCTGCCTCCAGCCTCCAGTGCCATGCTAATGATTCATATGCTAATGAGCGTCATGAGCTATTGGCTGCTGCTGGAGCAACTGTAATTCTTCCTATACATTTAGATCTGCTAGCATTTCCTACAGTCTGTCCTGCCGTTCTCTCTCTCTTTGCCTCCCTTTTGTCCTGCTCTATCATCTCTTGTCGGTCTCTCTGTTTGAGGAGTGACTGCAGCACAGCAGTTGATCAAACATACACAAGTTGAGAGTCAACTGGGCTGTTCAGGGGGAAAATAGCTCAGCTAAATAACAATTTTCTGAGGTAACATTTATAATCGCCCACTAGACTAGATAAAATATGTTAAGTGCTCCTTAAAATCAAAATTGATATCATTTCTTTGGAGTAACAAAAACCCACTGAACCTGACAAACAAACCTATTTCTTATCTTTGTTTACCCTCCTGTTATCTATGTGTCTGTCTTTGTTTTTGTGTCACCCTCCTTCTCCTTTTAAACCGAATGGTCTGGTTTGTATTCATCCCTTTGTCACTTTATCTCCATGTCCTTGTCAGAATGTCACCGATTTCTTTTTTCCAGGATCGTCCCTCTCTTCTCTCGTTTCTGCCGCCACTGTAGTTTCCCCTTCACAGTCCTTGTCTTTCTTTTTCAAATCTTTCAAACTATTATCTTTTGGGATTTTGGTTTTTTTTTTTGTTTGTTACACTAATGGTTAAATAAATAAACCCTTAAAGGTGCCAGAAGTGAGAATATGAAAAGAACAGTAATAGGGGTCCAAATAATATACCCTATTCTCATCATCTATTAATCTGCTGATTATCTTCTCAGTGAATCGTTTGGTTGTAAAATGTCAAATAATAATAAAAATGAATTAAATCACAATTTCTCAGAGCCTGAAATGATGTTTTCATATGACTTTTTTGTCAAACTAACAGTATAACACACAAATATATCAAATTTATGGTCATCTTGTAAAATAAAGTACTAATGGTCAGCGTTGCTCATCTGGGAGACTGTGCCTGTCCATTATTAGCTTCTATTTCAAGCTGTCCAACTGTGCAGAAAGTCTGTATATGAGCATGTTTTGTAAAGATGACAAAACAAAGCTTTCCTCTGCATTTTCAGTAATAACCAGTCCCTCTAGGAAGTTGCGTTGTTGGGATCGCAACAATTAACGTAAATTCCATTACTCCCAATGAATTTTGCAAAACCTAGTCATTTTTTCAAATCACTGCACTAAAAATTTGAACAATCAGTTTCCTGCACAAAAAGTTGAGTCAAACATCACCAAACTCACTTCCTTGTTTCTAGTGGTGAATATGCAGACCATGCAGACATGTGTGACATGAATGTCTCACATTGACCCTAATAATCCTGAGCCTTTTTGGTAAGGTTTCTTTCAGTCCAAACAGTGTGATTTCATTCTTATTGGAACATGTTGCCTTCTGTTTTTACAAAAAAAAACTTCATAAAACAGAAAGAACTGTGCACCGCAGATTGGGGTTTTTAAAATTACCTCTTACACTGATAAATACCTGTCCAGGCATGTCAAGAACAAACTGGTTTGTGTTACCTGTTGTATCTGTGAGTGATCACTTTGTGTATCAGAGATATGTATATGGCGTGTGGAGGATACAGAACAACCGAAAACTTGCCACATGCTCCTGAGCTTTGCCGATGTTGTGATCACTGTTGCTTGTTGACATGAACACCAACAGAAAGCAGGAGGGGTTCAGTGAGCATGCACTGTGTTTTAGAGTCAATTCAACACTGCTATTGAGCGGAGGAGTTTCCACATTTCATTTAGGAGGACGCGACTCCCCATCCCCTGTGGGGATAACTCCTCAACCGAAACCACTATCTTTCCCTGACCTTTACCAACTGCTTTTCTTTTCAACTGCCTACATTTTTCCAGTGAACATAATCCAGGCAGAAATTTGGTTCTGTACACAAAGTTACAGGTAAGATAAATTAATAACGTATTGTTATTTCTAGAAGATAGAGTTGGTAAAGTCAGGTTGTGTGTGTAATATTCAAGAGCAGTGTTGGGCTCGTTATAACTGTAATTTATTTACCGAAATGTATTAGTAGTAACTGGGGAAAGTAATATTATTACAGTAACATTATTACTACTAATGCCCTACTGTCCAAACTGTTCAAGACACACGTCACTTTTTGGTTTGACGAAACATGCAAATATGAATGGTACATGGCTATAAAAGAAAAAAAAGCATACAAAAGCATTTGCTCCAGGAGAGATGAAGCTGTCTGTGACTGGTTTCGTGCCATTGGTTGTTTTATGGGAGTGGAAGAGGGAGGAGAGTGGGAGGAGGAGGGCTGTGAGAGGCAGAGGCAGAAACAGCCACAGAGGCACACAGACAGGCTGGAAGAGAAGATGATGGTGGTCGGTGTTAAACATCCAGATGTGTGACAAACACGATGACAGCAGGACTTAGGAGGACGCTCCAGAGGGAAGCAGAGCCACAGAGCTCTGAACAGGGAATCCCCCTCTGTCCCGTTCATGTCTCCAATTCATCTCACGTGGTATCTTTGAGTTCCTCTGCACAGTTATGTTGCCTTTGTTATTCTGGATTCTGTTTCAGCCCTCCTCTATCCTGTCCCTTTGTGTATTCTCACTTGCCCCTCTACTATGTCGTTGTATGCTGTTTCTCCCCCTCCTCTCGAGCTTCCCTTCTGTTTCTCACATCCTCCCACACTCTCTCAACATTGTACCTTCTCCACCCTCTCCTCTCCAGCCTCCTCAAGATTTTATGATTCTGTTTAATGATAGATGAGCTGCACTTGATAAGATATTCTCGACTGCTAGAAATCTATCCTTCTCTGAGTCTAATATTATTCTTACCTGTGTGAATGTGCTGTACAGTATATGTGTGTGTTTGCAGTGTAGTGGCTGAATGTGGGCACAGATTAGGTCCAGCCCCAAGCTTTGCTCTCTATTGAAAATGTTTATGCCAAGCTGGACACATGAGATATAACATGATAAATAATAGAGTGTACTGTGGATGCATTAGTGATAGATACAGTGGAATTCATAAAGAGGCCACCTGTCTGCAGGACACTGAACGCTGTATTCAGCACTATGCTGTGTCTGAAAGCCTCCAGGCTGCATGCTGCTTAAAATCCTTTATTGAGTACAAGTACTTGCATTCATCATCGTGTTTAAAATTGAGAAGCAAATCTGTCAACCTAAACAAGAAAAGAAATCCTCTATCAAAGTCCAATAAGAAATTCAGTCACGTAAAAGGAAACATTTGTTTTTACTTTTCAAGTAAAATGAGAAGGAAATTGCATGAAGTTAAAATGGTAGAAGTCGTAGAAACTAGAGAAACCATAGTGGTGAGAATAATTACTATCCTCTAGCAAAAGAAGAAGTAGCATGACATTGTTATATTCACAAAATGTGGATGGGGCCATCAACAACACACATGGCATTTTTAAACCTTAAGCATAGAGGTGCTAGATCAGAAAACGTGAGTTGTTTTTGGAACGGTCATATGGGTCATTGTGGACAGCAGTAACAAGTGACCTATTTTGTCTGTTTAGGTGTGAGGAAACTATACACTCATAGTCTTCTTTGTCTACGTCTGGAACCATCTATTAAAAGGTTTTTCAGACAGGTCTTAAATATTTATAAGTATATAAGTATATAGTATAATGTAATTAAGTATTATCGAAGTCCCCAGGAACTTGTTTTAAGGTGCAATTGTTTATGTTTTCACTGTTTCTACACTTTGGTTCTATGATTATCTCATTCTTTTTTTCACTCTTATTCCTATAAGGTGTCATAATTTGATTAAGTTGAAACCTTTTTTATTAGGAAACCTGTGCGCAGTGACGGGCACTCCTCTGTGACCCTTCTCACTGTAAATAATTGAAGGAACACAAATCCAGTCAGCTCAGCAAACCATGATGTCAGACTGTCCTCATTTTTCGATTTTATGTTGCTTCCTATGTGGCGGTGTAGTGGCATGGAGGTCAGGACCGTCACTTTCAAGATGATGTTCCTCAGTTTGAACCCGCTGATCAGCTGAGGATTTTAAATTTGTATGTTCTCTCCATATGTGTATTGGTCTTCAGTTTGTTCCACCAGTCTGGTGAACTGAAAACTAAAAATAGCCTGTGAATATGAAACAGTTACAGCATGTGACATGAAATAAATATATTGCAGAAGGTGTGACTGCACACCAAGGTCTACTGTCCCTGATACAGGGGCTTAACGTCTTAAACTGCAAGAAATGCATGAGTTGTAACAGGATATGCACATTACACTGTTCTGTGAAAATAGAGGGATTGTTTAAGTGACTTGTATACACCATCAACATCAGATAATGATAGCAGACATAAACTGAAATCTTGTATAAAAACCACCATGAAAATACAGATTGTCTTCTTCTTGTGAGATTTAATCCCACAATTAAAGATTCAATGGCAGATTGCATCACTAATTTAGCATTATATGCCTTCTACTGTTTCCTTTTCTTCAGCTGTTTGCAAGGAGCTTATTAGTAGCTGTTGATACGTGTTGTTGAAAATTCGCAGTCTTGAGGAAGAGGAAAGGAGTTAAATTGACACTTCAAAGAGTGAAGTAATGAATTAGTATACCACTATGTTTGGCTGTTCTTGTAAAATCAAAAGGAGCAAGGTTGAGAGTGTAGGAGGGAAACAAGACACACCTTCATCACCAAACTGCTCTCGAAAGAGCCAAGACTAGCAAGTGTCTCTGGATGTACAAACAACATTACTCTATGCTATAAAAAGCAAGAAAGCAATAATGGCGTACATAAAAAAGTAAATAATTCATAAAACAACTCTTCTGCAAGATTTGAAATTAATGTTATATAAAACTCATCAAAATGTGACCAAAATAGTTCTTCTACCCTACTGTTAAAAGTTGCAGCTTTGAATCTATCTGGCAAGATGTTATATTTCTTTTTGATAGCTAATATGGAGGAGTCATATGCAATGTCCTGCATATTTTGTCAAAATATGACATATGTGATTAAAACTCAGTCAAGTTGACGAGGTAGATAAATATCCACAGCAACAGATGGTGTGTAGCTGAGATGTCCAAATGGGCTCAAGTCCAAAATGTTGTTTCCTTAATTGCAGATAAAACTTCACTTGAAAACACAATATGTCTAATTTTCTTTTACAGCTTTGTGAGTTGAGAAATTAAGAGATCTTGTCTATTCGGTGGACAATTTAAGGCGTATGTGCTCTTTATGTCTTGTTTTGAAATTTGAAACATTATATAAGAGTTGCAGGTCTGTGTGACTCAGCTCAGTGTTATCACCCTCTAGAGTTCAGTAAATATGGAGTTCAATAAAACATAGGGGTCAATAACTGTAACTACTGTATATTGCTCTGCTGAAAGCACTATCCATTAAGTGGTAAACATTTGCAGAGATTAAAGTAAGCTTTATAATATATTACAATAGAAATTCATGCATTTTTGCTGCCTATCTAGAATTTTACTTCTGTGTTTCTTCCTAAAAGAGCTCTGGAGACTCTAGTGTCTGCTTTGAGAAGAATGCATTTGGGTTTTGTGAATGTATTTTATTTCAGTATGCATTTTTTACCATATCCGGGATTTCATTGTTTCAGTTTCCTTAAGCCGGATTTATACTTGATGCTGGGGTTTAATGGCAGTCCTGCTCTAGATGCCTGTTGCATTTTGATATATAGCTCAGATTTCACCCATTGATAACAACACTGCAACTCTAGATTGATCTATTGCACATGATCAGGAAATGATATATCCCACAGTTATTTTGTTTATATTCTGAGATAGTGGTGAGCAGATGATATGTTGTGGAGACTGCTTTGCTACATGTGCAATACTGAAAAGAAGAAGACACTTCAACTCTTTTCTTCAGATTCTCCACACTGAAACCTTTTAGCATAAAACAGCCCAAGCTCAGCAAATACTGTTCTTTTAGCCTAATAATGTGGTATTGTAGCTGCTGTAGCCACAATATGTACTTACATTTTTGATGAGCACATCAGCTGCAACACAACTATAAATATAGCTTTAGTCTTTACAGGTGTTTTAATAAAAGTTTCATTTTATATTTACCAGTTTTATCTGTGTAGATGTATCCTAGTACCTTAATGTGCCTGATTTCATTCTGTGCTTACTCTCTGCCTTGTGTAATATGCATGTGCATTTCCTTTGTTCGTGTGTAAAGACATGTTTGTGCATGCAAGAGTGTGTTTTTGCATCTCATTGTAGTAAAGTGGTCCCTTGTCACATTTTGATCCTGAGAAGCAAGCTGTAGTCCTGGCATCAAACCAATTGTTGCTCTTCCCTCATGTATCTTATTTTACAACGTGTTTGGAACCTGATGCTGTTCTAAAGCTTCTATAATGAGCACTTCACTTGCAAAATGCCTTTGTAAACAAAGGATCAAGACATGGCTCTAAAATCTGTCTCCCCGATTGCTCTCTGTCTCTGTCTGTCTCTCGTCTCTTTGCAGGGGAAGAGGAATAAGCCCGGGGTGGAGGCTGCCAGCTCTCCAGAATCTGTGAGAGGTCGAGGGGAAAATAAAGCCATCAAGTAGGTGTCAGGGAGGGTTTAGATGAAGGCATATGGAAATGATCTGTGATGTAGTTATGGTATCTGATTTTAACAGCCGTTTCTGATTGGAAAGCTAATCTCGTAGCACCCCCTACATGGTCTGAAATGTCCACCATGACATGATGCCCTCAAGACAGTGTTATGTGGGTATATTTTTCATTCATGAGAGAAGCTGAATTTTTCACACAGTGTAGGGAAGTTACTTGTAAATTCTCTTTGTATAAATGGAAGCTTGTTTTACAGATTAATAAGCTTTACTTCAAAACTACATCCTCTGTGAAAATGTTTCAAATACAGTAGTTGAACACTATTACTGAACTACTACTACCACAACTTTAAACATACATTCAAGAAATCTTTTATTGTGTAGTTTCGTCATTTTGGACTGTAATATTTCTCTGGGTAACCTTGATTTTATGTAGTTATTATCCTTACTAAAGATAAGAGGTGCTGAAGAGTGGGCAGCTAACGGTTTGTCATTTATATCACTCCTTTGTTACTATTTAAATTCCTGTTTCCCAAATTGTATTCTCAGAGTTCATATCCAGTATGTATGTTAATAAAGTGCTGTGTTTGTTTTATAGTGACTACTTCCTCTGTTTTATTTGTTTCCTCATCCTTGACAGCGGCATAAAACATGCAGGTCACTTCTTTTTACCTCATTCTGGGTGTTTCATCATGCACCAAAATGTTATGCTATCAGGTTTCCATGCAGATTACAACAGACTTATCTTAAACCTCCCTTTCATCCTGTGTGTGATGAATGTAATGTTACACTCCACCTATGTGTTATGAACAAATGTATTCAGTATCTATGTTTAAAGAACCGTGCACAGTTTTAGAATATAACTCTATAGGCATTGACACTATCACATATTCCCTATTTATTAGCATTCCCTCCCTGACCTTTAGATTTATGAGACAGTTTTCTAACTTGGCTCTTTTTATGATCTTTCCGCCTTGTTTCTTAACACATCTGTCATGTTATTCTTCTTTATAACTGTTTACTGCTCTTACCTGTCTTATCCCCCTCTCTCTCTGTCTCTGGCCACAGTGATCTAGACAGAGACTTTTGGAATAACAATGACAGCAGCAACGTGCAACAGAGGTGGAGCTCCTACCCGCCCAAGGAGTTCCTCTTAAACATGTCTCCCTATGCTCCCTACGGAGACCCTCGCCTCACGCCCAAGTGAGTCTCAGTCATGGCTGGTAAGAGACCCCACTATCTGGGCAGGGCTGTAATGAACAGGGGCTTGTGTGCACCTTGGAAAAACTCCCAGAAAGCTCTATGAATAGACATTATTAGGCTTAATGATTTGTTTTGCACACTAAATTTTAACAGTCTCTTGTTAGGCTATTTATGTGCATAAGTATAAATGAAGTATAAAAATACTGTGATCAATATATCTGAGCAGTGAAAAGGTCACATTTACAGTAATAGCCTGAAAGGAGGCAGAACGCCTCATTTTGTAACACTGTCTGGCCACATATCTTTAAACAGAAGTCTCCTCTCATCCCTGGTAATCCTCATGTTTTTGCTGTCAGGAACGTCCACAGTGAGTTGGTGTTTAGTATGCACTGCTGGCCATGCAGCACCTGATAGAGATGTGCAGCACCATCCCTCAATATTACTATGATTCCTAGGACTTCCCTAACATTGACAGTTTAATTTCAATTACAACCATTTTCCAAATGCTAGAAAGATAGAAAGACGTGGTTTCTGTGTGACAACATCTGCAATTAATAGATATAGTCTATAAAAAAGGCTTTATATGATAAATATTTATAAGAGAGAGGATTCCAGAGTGAGGAAAATGTATGTTGGAGTACCTTCTTTTTGCCAAAACTCAAAACACAAAAAATCTGGGAAATTAAATTTTATTTTGCTTTTGCACGGTGTACAGGGTGTACAATTGAAAGGTTTGATAGCCCCATTCCCTACAGCCCTGCTAGCCTCATCAGACCCTCTTTACCTCTCACCTGCAGCCCATGGAGTGTTACCATGGAGACGGACAACCCTCAGAGAGCAGATCTCACTGTTTCACCTGAACCTTTTCCCCTCTCATACAACCCAGCCTCTCAACTCCATGTATTCAGATTTGCTCCTCAGGATACTGTAGCAGACCTGACTTAAATGTATACTTACCTAAGCCATTAGGGTTTCCACAAAGGGCTGACTGTTGTTGATTTTTATTTATTTTCTGTCTTTGAAGGGGGTAGTTTAAAGGAATAGCTTGAAATTTTGGGAAGTATGCTTGTTTGTTTTCTGTTCCTCACTCTGTTTTGTTGAATGCAAGGCTACAGCCAGCTGCTAATTAGCTTAGCATAGCATGGATACAGGGAAACAGCTATTTAATAGACAGATATGAGAATGGTATCGATCTTCTCATTTAACTCCCCTAACAAAGGTATTTCCCAAAAGGATCAATTGTTGCTTTAATAGGGTGGCTTCTGTTCTACTTTTTCCACTGTTGTGTTGTTGTTTTTTTGTGTGTGTGAAGCCGTTATGTGTTTTTACTCCTCTCACCTCTTTCTCCACTCGCTCTGTGTTTCCTGCTCATTTGTTGTCACTACTCCCACTATCACTCATAGTACTGTAAGTGCTTTACAGTCGCCTGATAGCTCTCCTGAGTCTGGTCTACTGAGCCCTGTTCCAAAAATATTGGCAATGTCTCCGTCTTGTGTAGTACAGCAATTATGTGTTTGGATGGTAAAACGTTTGTTTCATATCAACCTCCGTTCCATCATTTAGATGCGTCTGACATGTCACTGAGGCATTACATTAAGTGAACCTGTTCATTCTTATCCTCTCTAATTAAAACTCACTTGACTCTTTCAAGGGTTATCAATTACTCCGTATCTGTGCAGTAATGTTGAAACTATTGTAAAATCAATAGCGATTGTCGTGATTTCATTTATATGTTATTGAGATAATTATTTAGGTTTGAGTGGCATTTAATAGGCTGATGATTGGGGGGGCATTTCAAAGATACATATGTGATAGCAGATCAGTGAGTCAAGTATTTCCTACTCTTTACCGTCAAAATAATGATGCTTTTAGTTGGTAAAAGGCAGGTTTGTTTGTTTATCACCTTTCAAACTCAGCAGCAATTCAAAGTGCTTTACATAAAGTGAAGAAATGCATCAAAAATATTAAAAAATACAATTAAAAGGAAAATCAAATCAACACACAAAGAAAAAAAATGAGATAAATAAAATTAAACAACTACAGCAGAGGTTTTTGGGTGCTGATATGTGAGAGTATGTACGTACATGTGTTTCACAACAGTAGCCCAGTAGCCTGAAATTGTTCAGTGAGAAATCATTCATTTTACCGTCAGTCTACACTTAATGTCTAAATGTTGTTGAAGATATTGTCCTGGTGTGCAGCTGTGTGTTTGTCTTCACTCAGTAGAAAGGCCCCTGTACTGAAGTCAACGTTCTGTTTGTACTCGTCTCTGTGACGTCTTGAGTCAAGGTCAGCTGGGGTGGGTCAAGCACGGTTAGAAATAACTTATGGGAATTTACTGGGGAAACAACTGACACAGACTCCTTAGAGTTTTGTTTTCATTATGAGCTGCAGGTGAGTTGCTGTGAGATTACAGAGACATAAGCGTTCTGTTATCATCACCTGCATCTGCAGTTTTGAAATCTGAAGATGATGCATCTGCATCATTACTCAGCTATTATGCCCAATTCACAGAGACAACAGATTGGTCATTGCTGTCCCCTGTGTGGAGTGAAACGGGGCAGACCTGCTGCATATTCAAACTTCTAATACTCTGTGGCTTATTTCTCACCTCAAATGTTTCCAAAATGGGTTTTCGTGGACTAAAGTAGATGCAATAATAAAAGTTCCCTGTAGGAAATGTATTCAAACGCTTTATTTGCTAGTGTTTCACAGTATATGAGTGAATTGGGCATTATAATACAGTTAGTAATACTTTCCATTGGCCCTCAGTTCTGTGCAGGTTTTGTTCTTTGGAAAATATGTTTTTGTCTCAGTCAAGTGTACACAACTGTGACCCCCAATTTTCTCTCAGGGTTACACTGTAAATCTCAGCCCAGACTTCTTTACTGCATTTTTACTGACTGTCTGGCTGACCAGCAGTGGCTGCTTCAGGTTTTTGTTGTACACTAGACACTTTTGAGAGCTCACAAAGTGTCTTACTCACCGGTTTGACTAACTTAACTTATGATTCTTTTGCTCTCCGGCTCTGTACGTCTGTGCGTCTGTCTTTCGTCTGTCCGTCTCTCTCTCTTCTTTGTATCCTCTCCTGTTCCTTTCTGTCTGTCCGTGTTTCTTTGTCTCCGATCCACCCCACTGTTCCTCCCAGTGGGGCTGTGGATAAGGGTGGGCAGGGCGGTGCTGGACCCTCGCCGGGGGCCAGTGACAGCGGGGGTGGTGCTTGCTCTGGGACTGGGGCAGGGCCCAGTCGCAGTGACAGCGTTCGGAGCATGGTGACGGGGGGCAGCAAGGCCGGACGGTGGCAGACTGTCCAGAGCCACATGCATGCCGGAGGCCTGCGGTTTGGCAAGTGAGTGGCGCATGGTCACAGAGGGCACGCATGAGGGACAACAGTGGGCACAACAACATGGCATGGTGTGGATATCAAAGAAGAGTATGAGTATGTAAAAAAACATCGTGAATGGCATTGTTGCATGTAAACTCAAAGATGGACATCAACAGAAGCTATTTTTGACACCATACAGATGAAAATAATGTAAGGCAGGCCTGGAAGAGAAGCCAGCTGCTTTGCAGGATGTACCTGCGATGCATGAGTAACTGTTGGTTGAAGTCTCTTGACAACAGAGAGCTTCGTCACTCATAAACAAATACTATTTCTATGTCAGCTGCCAACTTTCCACCAGCTGATGTCAGGACAGTCTCAGACAAAGTGAATCCACACAGTCATACTGTTCTCTGCAGGCTCCAATTTACTGAAGGCTGTGACAGTTTCAAACGAAACAGATGCTCACAGAAAATCTTTAAAAATGGCGTGCTTGTTCATATGAATTAACAGCTTTTTTTTAAAATTCAGAGTGGATTGTTGCATAAACAGCAGGAAAGTTTTATTAGGCCAGTGATATAAATGAAACTCTTTCATATAATATGGTTCATTCAGCTTAATTTTCACCAAAGTTCATTGTGTATCAGCCTCTGCAAACAGCTCAGACTGTGCGTTGTTTTTGCAAGTAGCAATCACATGGACTTTCCTGGTTACTACTACAACCAGCTTGATATTTGACATAATGAGCTGATGGCGTAAACAACAAACAATTGGTAATTGAGTTATGAAGTGGGAGGAGCTATTTTGGGCACACCTGGTTCCTGAAGTAAAAGTCCCATTAATTGTTCCCAAAGACAATGTGACTGACAACTGGAGCATTTCTACGTCTTGGATCAGCATGAAAATGAATCACCAAGATTAGGTAACATCAAGATTTATGGGTAGCCATTCATTTTACAATATTGCAGGTACTTTAAAGCTTCTAATAAGCCAATAACCCATATTGAGTATTTCATAAATTAAGAGCAATGATCACAGTTAAGTCTGACAAAATAAACAGTTTTGTGTAGCAGAATACATTTTTTAAAGGATAAATGTACTGTATAAATGCTCTGAATTCAAATAATAATCTGTCCCATAAATATGAGTTAGATGTGGAATGTTAAAATGAATGGTGAATGTTGCTTGGTTGGTGAAAGCTGCATGTTTTTGCAAAACACCAGCAGCATATTGAAGAGACTAATAAATAATGAATATAGGATCTCTGTATGTGAATCGTAGCCTAGATAATCAAACAGTCTTTTGTACTGTTTCACCTCAACAATTCATTCAGTAAATCTAGAGCAAATTGTAGTAGAATAGATTAATAATCAAGTATAGCAAGTAGATGTACAGGACAGTAATTAAAATCATCAGCCCATTTATTCATTCATCATTCATTCATTCATTGTCGGCCAACTTTATAATACTGTGTGTGCTTGTTATGACACAGAAGATTGATTAGAAACAAGAGAGCAAAACTCTTTATTCAGAACTGATATTTGCCTGTTGGACTGTAGACACTATAAATTGTTTCCACACATAATGACTGAATCATTGGGCATGTTTGACTGATTTTGAGTACATATTTTAATGATACAGTATGTGGCTTTTTAACTACAAGACAATAGACTTGAATTAGAATTTTTGGATTTGAACTTGAATTACAGTTCTTTGCTCCTGTCACTCTTCTATTTTGCTCCCTTTTTCCTCCTCCTTTCAGATCTACCTGTATTTCCATTTCTCCGCTGGAATTGGTTTCTATTTTTGGACATTAACCTCTCCCCCTCTCTGTCTCTCGTCCACTCTCTCTCTCTTTCACTCTTCACTGTTGGTAATTTTTCTCGCTCTGACTCTGTCTCCTTGTATTTTTTACCCTCCTCAATTTTCCCTAATTACAAAATCATTCAAGGTTTATAGTCATCTTAATTGACTTTCAAGCAAGAATAAATGTGAAAATAACCCTCTAAGTCAGTAATAGGATACAGCAGATAAAGGGGGCTTGTGCTCAGGGCATACGAATAACTGCGGCTGTTGTAGACAGATGCAATAAGGTTGTACAGTACCTGAAAGCACAAGTGCGTACAACAATCGAGGAAATCACTGCGAGGAACTGACTGTTCGTTGTAGAGTCCTGGAATTTTTGAGTAAATTCATTCATGAATAAATTATTTGCCAAATTTATGACACTGAACAGACTGGCAAAATTTATTAGCACATGGACTGGCTCCCAGATGTCTGGCCTAATTCCAGCATGAATCCAGCCAGATGTATCGATTTATGATGATGTCAGTTATGTTGACATATTTGTGTGCGACATAGAGATTTCTATGTGTGTCAGTGGACCTTTTTTATTTTTTTGCGTAACTGTACCATATCTGCAGTGGTTTATATGCTCAGAGGTACAAATAACAGTAGTTTCTTTATATTGTGTTCTTACGCTTTCATGCATTTCCTTTTTCTTTTCTAACATTTCATTTCAGTCAGGAGAAACTTTAATTGATATGTGCACAATGAAGATGAGAAATGTGAAAAATCTTTGGCGATTATACCCCATTGTGACGTCATCGTATTTGAAGGGGTTGGTGAAGCCATGATTTGTATAGGAAACCCCCTGATGGACTCTAGACACTGTTGGTGGTGGTGGTGATGAAGGGATGAAGTGAATACTGAAGATATGGTTGTGATGAGGCACGGACTTCTGATGAGCTCAACCTGGGCACTGGATGTGATGAACTGGAGGTGAATGGGGTGGAGGAGGGTCGTCAAACGATTTTGCACTGAAATGACAGCTAAAGGCAGCAGAGAGGAGAACAGATTTAAAGTTTGACAGCAGCAACATGATTGGCTGGAGGAGATTGAGACTAAGTCCGATTGTATTAACTAAAAGAGTAAACGCCCATAGCTGATTAGAAAGGAGAGAGAGAATTGTGAAAGAATGAGGCATAATGACAAGGTCTTCTTGAATGAAAATATGCTGAGCTTAATTATACCTCTGTCCATCAGTCTTCATGGCCAATGACAGGTCTTGTGTATTTAATTTAAGGAACAAAACATTTTTATGTTTTTGTGACTTGAAACTATATCATTTTTCAGCTTATTTAAGCATCAAGATGGATTGAGTCCTCTAATGTACACTCACAGTCATCAATTGTTTTGACATGTTTCAGTAGTACACTGCGGATCCATTGGTTGTGCAAATATTTTCCCCCCAGTGTAATTCATATTGTCAGTTTTTTTAATGATGTCCTCAGTGCTTCAGAAAAATATTTTACAATCACATAGGTTCATGTTATGTCCCTCAAAATTAATTATTTCAACTATGTTTTTGAGAAATCCTGTATTTTCCATCAGTTTTGTTACGGAGGATGGCTATTAATACTAAGCCATATAAGCTATATAAGCCTCATGGAGAAAAAGCATGAATGCATTTACATACATATTGTTGTTACTTTGCCATAACAATGCTGTGCCAAAATTGCCCAGATTTAAACTAAAGAACTAGCAGCACTCATAAACGTTTTAAGCTTGACTGGATATTTCGGATCAAAATTCACTTAACTTTTCTAGTTTGGCTTTTATGTACACAGGCGTATACCTCCTTCTTTTATCAAAGAACAAGATGTTTTTTGAATGCAGTTGTTCATCTTTTATGAGTTTCATCCAAGCCTTGGAAATTGTCCAACCAACAGTTGCCTAACATTATCTTTGCAGACAATAAATGAGACTGATGCCTCTGGAACCCTAAATACCAAAAATGCCCTCTTCCCACTTCAAATATTGCTTCTGCTCAACGGAAATCCACGACTTTTAAACATTAACTCACATTTATTCAGTTAAAATATTATGCACAAGTAAATAAACATTCGCTTCAAAGCTTATCCTCGGGAAATACCTAATGGTGTGCAATATGTGAGTGTGTGAGAGAGAAAGTGTGCATGCAGGAGTGCATGTATATGAGCTCCGCCTTGTATTTACTTGATCCAGCATTGCTCTGCTCCTCGGGGGGCTTTTCTCCTGGCTCTCCAGCAGAGTTAGAGCCGAGTTAATACTGAAGAGCGCCGCTAACACAACTGAAGTCCAGGCAGTAAATCCTCCCTCACAGCATTAGCTTCAGACAGCACTGTTTAGCACAAGCTTAAGTTACAGTTATCAGGCAGGGCAGTGATTGAAGGGAGGATAAGGGGTGAAGCACTATTACATGATTGTAAGAGTAGCAGACCGGTAATTAGAGAGAGAGTCTTAAAGAACAGTGATTGGATTGATGTGAGGGACTGGGGTTGTAGAAAAGATGAATGGACAGAGGAGATGGAGAGCAGTTGAGCTCAAAGGCACGAAGGTAAAGGGACGAGTGGGAAGGGAAAATATAGCAGGAGCAGACAGGACCTTAGAGAAAGACTGGTGGAAGCAGAAGGCGGCAAGGCAAGAAGATAGAAGTAGGTCATGGCTAATTAGGGAGAAAGGTAACGTACAGAAACAATTTAGCGCTGCAGATGGAGAGCAGAGACCTAAGTTAAGTGACAATGATACTTTAACTTCAGCTTGAATTTAATTCCACTTAAGCAGAGGTTTTGACACCAGTCTGGAGAAGAATAATTGAATGTTTACACGCTGCATGCCAGTCCATCCACACATGCATACACTGTCACACAGTGTAAACTCCAGATTCTGCACAGTTGTTTTCATACAGATGTTTCACAGTAATCTAAAGCTAAATCTTTCTCTACCTCCTCTTTCACTGATCTTTGTTGTTTGCTCTCTCTTGATCCTCTCTCCCTTTGATATTCACTGCAAACACTGTGTTCCCACATTTCAATCTCTGCTGTATCTGTATATGTTTTTGCCATTTTTATCCTCTTTACCTTCTTTTTGATATCAACATGATCATGTGTTACCAAATGGTTTTTTTTATACGTTCATCTTTTCTAAATCCCTTCAAAACAACCTGCCCTGACCTGTATCCCTTGTGTTATCTCTAACTCCGATGTCTTCCTTGTTGTATCCATCTCTTTTCTCGGCGCTACCATGCGTCTGCTCAGTTTTGGGGATGCTTCCCTCTCGTCTGCTTCCACCCTGGAGCACATCCCGTCCTCAGCCGTGGCACGCCCTCGGCCCCTGGTCCGGCAGCAGAGCCTCCAACAGCCCCTTACTCACCAGCCCCCTCCGGGTCCAAACGACCCCCCAGTCACCTCACAAAGCCTGGGCCAGCTGCACACAGGTCCAGGTGGTGGGGGCCACCGTGGGGGCCCGCGCGGGGTCCGGGGGAGTCCGGCTGGAGCCTCCCGGTACAGAGGAGCAGGGGCAGGCCGATCGAGGTCAAACCCTGGCAGCTGGGATCACATGGTGGAGCAGATCCGCAACAGAGGCCTGGACGTCAAGTCGTTTTTGTAAGTGAAATGAAGTTTTCACCTCTGTAAAATGTTGCATCAGGAAAGCTTGACAGAGGAGACAGAAACTGTTGAATGCTGCTCATATTATCAGTGAGCACTACATCCTGGTGATATGTGCTACACTGCTGACCTAGTTTCTAGGTTTTTAGGCTGTTTTGACATAACTCACTTGCCAATTTATTAGGTATGCCTAATAGTCGTAGTAGCAGTCTAACACAATAAAATCTACCTTCGGTTTCTGTATTTGTCATTTTGGAGGCTGCAGTGTAGTTTGTGGCACTGTTGGAAGCAGTATTTAGATTCTTTACTTAAATAAAAATAGCTCCACAAATGAAAAACAACAAAACGAACGAAAAATATGCAGTTTGGTAGTTTGATCTATAACAACGCACCACATTTTATGCTCAAGTTGATATTGTAAGTCATCATTATATGCAAGACCTTGTATATAATGACCTTATATGCAAAAAAATGTCTAAAACTGTTAAATTAATGTAGTGAAGTAAAAGAAGTGTAACATTTCCCTCTGAAATGTAATGGAGTAGAAAATACTCAAGTATGCTATTACCCCAGATTGTACTTAATTACAGCACTTGAGTAAATGGACTTTGCATCACTAGTGCGTGGTGCTGTTGAATTTAATTGCTGAAGTGTTTCTAATGCAACCCCCTTTATTTCAGTGAGGGTGGACAGACTATTAGAAACAGCTCTGTGTTTTGTATATATTGGGACTCCACACAACCAGGAAGAAAACAAAACTCGTTTTTAACTTATCCAATTTGTATTTCTGAAATAAGAAGAGGTATAAAATTCCTTATAAAATCCCTCAACATATCATAGATTCGTACATAGATTCCAGCTTGTTGAATAAAAATTATTCAGTGAATTGTCACTGTCTACATAGATTTGATGAATCTCGCTCAATAATAGTTTTTCCAACATAGGATGGTGAGAATTAGAAAAAACGTAACACAAGCACATGATAAAATAACCTTAATCCTAACCCAACCAGGGTTCAAGAGAAATATGCTTTTGATAGTTATCAAAGATCATTAAAGCTTTTACTATGCCAATGATTTTTTACGATTCATACACAACTGAATAAAACGACTGCTGGTGTGTGAAGGCTACTGATTGTTTGAGATACCGAGCACGAAGAGCACTCCTCCTTCGCTTGACTTGAATGATAGATTACAGATGATGTGCTCCACAAAGCGGCCTCACGTAAACCCCACCCCCCATCCCCTCCAGACCACGAACAAAGACACTTACAAACATCCACAGCTCTGCTACACTCCTGTACTTTTTACGTGTCATCCCATTAACAGTGTCTCCAGGCCAGTGACCTCCCTGCCTATGTGAATCATCATTCAAATAAGGCTGGGCACATATATAGGGAGGCGGTATCGTCTATTGTCTCTGTCCTCATGAATCTCACTGGACCAAACACATCAGTTGTTGACCCTGGGGGGTCGGGGGGTGGGGGGGACTGTGGGGAGTGGGAATATCATGCATTTGTGATCAGTGGGGTATGAACAACCAAACACAGCAGTTTCACTTTCCACGTGTGTCAATGCCTGTCATACAGTGCCACCCCGCTTACATTTCAGATCAATAGAGCTGGTGTAGGTGGTAATGATTTCAGAGCCCTCCGGTTGGAGTGCGCGTGTCTTTTTTGGTCATCTATACAAATTCGTTCATCTTATCGATGAGCGTCATGTTGATACTATTTACACATCCCCAGTGGTCTGCTGTCTCTCAAGTGCTAATGTGTTCCCTCTTGTTGTCGATATTGCTTCAACAAACAGCCTCTTGTTAAAGGGGGAATGCACCACAGAAAGCAGATGCAGGCTGGTGTGAGATATGGTGAGATGAGAGGAAGATGGTCAGAGGAAAACTGAGGAGAAACTGATGAAACTGATTAAACTGATTTTGGAAAAAAGTTTGACCAGTGTTTCATATTGACACACTGTTTCAGGAACACTAAGAGCTCTTCCTAAAACAACTGTAAGTAATTATTTAAATTATTTACATTACATTTAATAACACGGTCAAGGTAAAGAGTCAAACCAAAGTAAAAAATCTACTAATCCACAAAATAAAAAGTATAAAATTAAGGGTGGCAAGAAATTACAAAAATGTTGGAATTGTCCTTTACTGTGATAAAGCTTGTCCTTGGATGAGCATGCTATGTTAGAGGTTGTATATAGAGGAAAAGAGCATGGTAGGAGAAGAGAAGCCAGAATAGAGTACAATATTTGCCTACATGTGGGTTTATTTTGTCACTGTGAGTTACAAGGTTAGTTGTAGGCAAATATTCATTTGTTAAGGTCACAGGTCTCTTGAATTCACTTTGCAGCATATTTCAGTAAGACATAATTTAAATGACTTCGGGCATGTTTAGACTGAGAATAACAGCTGAAAATCAACGTGATATGTTTCTTTGTTGCAGGTTTTTGTTAAGGCCACATCAATTTTCATGGATTTCTTTTGCTTTTCTTCTATGTTTTTCTTTTTTTTCCCCGCATGCCATTTCAATTGCTTCTATGTTTCTCTCTGAAAGAGGTTTTTGGTTTTCTATTTTTATACCTTTATTTTTTCTAGAAAACTGATAACAGAAGATATATCCTTAGAGGCATCAGTGTTTCTCAGCCTTTTTACTAATGATGCTCATTTTCATCAACATATTTCTATGACGACCATATTTAACAGTGCATTTTTTTCTAACGCTCTGACTCATGCATAAGAAATTAAATGGGTCCATGCTTGTAATAACACACATTGTTCACTGATGCATTATATAATCTCATATATTGAAATGATGAATCAGACGAAAAAACCCCATATGGATGTTTCTAACAGGTTATATATAAAAAGTGGGCTTATAATGAATATCATTTGGATCATTTGACATGTTATGCTATATCATATATCATGTCAGTGTTAAACAACTAAAGAAAGAGTCAGGCCAGCATGTGGGAAATAAATTAATCTGTTTCTACAGAAACTGCTCAGGCTAACAGCATACAGTACGTTAGGTAATCATAGGCATAAAGCATTAACCAAAATGTGAGAATAAGACTTTGTAGTAATTCAAAGGTTGGATGTCTTTTAATAGCAAACTCTCAACCTCACAGAGTCAGTGAAGGGAATGGTAAAGGGAAAAAAAACGCGTTAAGATCTTTCATTGAACAAAGATCTATTTTCTAACTGGCCTCTAATGAAGTCTAATTTGCTAATACAAGAAAGAGAAGGATATTACTGATGATGGCAATGGCAGATTATATTTGCTCATAATATATAACTTCCAGCCATAAAATGAAACCATTCTAATATTAGATTATGTAAAAGTTTATTTATACTTGCTTGTAGCCTTTAACATCTTCACACAATGTATGTTAGTGTCATAATCTGCGCATCAGAGGTTATTTTGGATCCAGTTGTACATTTAACATGTTGAGGGGGGCAAAGCTTTGTAGGTTATGGTTTGTATGTGTTATGGTTTGTTGTGTACATACAGTAAACCAACAAAATCAAATGTTCTCCATGTTTTTAAAGTGTTCAATGTTCTTACAGTAACATTCAATCGGTTATGAGAAACAAAAGTTAAGTACATGGTATATAAAATGGCAAGAAATCCATGCAGCAAAGTGTTACTAAAGTGTTCAATTAAGTCTGTATTGTATTCTTAGCTCACTCCAGATCACACAGATCTGGCTGAGATGCACTGCATATTAAAGTGTTGACTGAGCATTTGTTAAAATGAAACGACCTCTCTCCCACTCTCTCGTGCATGAAATGAATGTGTGCTGTGTCACTGCTGTGTGTGTGTGTGTGTGTGTGTGTGTGTGTGTGTGTGTGTGTGTGTGTGTGTCTGTGTATACATGTGTGGACTTGTGTTGTCTTGTTTGTCTGTGTGTCCAGTGAGGGGAAGATGGTTGTTCTGTCTCTAGCAATCGGGCTGGCCGAACAGGATGACTTTGCCAACCTCCCCGATCTACAGGAAGCACCGGCAAGCAAAGAAAATGATACCACGCCAGAAAAGAGGTAATGAGAGAAAGAGAGAGAAGAATGATGTGGGGAATGTGATTAGTTAGGCACAAAAATGAAACAAGTAGCGGAGGAAGTTGTTTGTCATAGTGGAAAGGTACATAATGATCTAATGACGCGTAATTTAAAGTGTTACAGGACTGTTTATCTCTCTTGTGTTGATAAATCTTAACTGCTATGAAAAGCCACACTGCACATCTCAGTAACACTTATTTTTTTAAATTGAAATACATTTGAAGATATATAATAAGAAAGTGGTTTGTGGCAATTAATGTACTGTTTGCCTATGCTCAATGCTTTTTGGAAATTTGGTAGAAACTGTTTCTTTTTCACAGACATGTCAAAATAATCAGTAAATAATAAAATATTTTATTCAGATTAAAGCAGCAACAAGAAACTTTCATTTTGTGTTGAATCTGGCGGTCCCTGTGGACAAAAGTGGCAGGGTTGTTTTATTGATTTCAAAGGGAATCCTGAATGGCATGTATTAATAAAAGGTATATAGAAATAGCCTTGTATAATAATAATAATGGTCTTGTGTGCTTATATAGGTAATATAGATGCATCCTTGTAGGTTTAATATTAAAATGGCCTGATAACCTTGGCTGTGCAGGATTTTAGAAATTTTGATGTCATGAGTCTAAATTTCCCCAGAGTGACCCATCCCGTCTAACTCGCCAAATTTATTTATTTATTTAACTACCAGAAATATAATTACATTTAATTATAGTCTGGTGGAAAAACACAGAAACCAAATTTAAATATATTCAGTTTAAAGCCTTTGAAAACCCATCACATGTAATCTATTGTTAATGTAATTATATGGAAACTCTTCCTCAGGCTATTACATTGCCTACATTCCCAGAAACAATACAAAGGACATGACCTTGGTACTTTCAATGGCAGCTATGGCCCTGCTTGATGGTTCCTCTGCCTCTAACCCTGAGCTTTCTTCTTGTTTTTCCTTTTGCTATACGTTACTTTATTCATTTCATTTTCTCACATTTACAGTATATTTTGCGAATCTCCACATTTTCTTTCCAACTCCCAATTTTGGCTCCTCGTGTCCCCTCCTAATTTTATGTTCTCTGTGCTCTTCATCCAGACCTTTGTAAGTCTGCTTGTCTGCAGCTCTTCGCTATGTCATCTGCGAGTCGTAGACACAGGAGAAGGGCACCCTCATTATTTAGAAGTAAGGTTCCTCACATGAAACACTCGTCTAAAAATATGCTAACCTCTCATCTACGAGTGATCTCAGAGCTGCTGTCAGAGACTAACACAATCTTTCAGTTGGTGAACAAAGGACTAAACTGGCTGCCCTCTCACATCCGTGTTTGAGAGATAAAGTGCTTAACCCACTGTTTTAACACCAGTAGGTTGAACATGAGCCTTGGTATAGTCCCAAATAACACAATGCAGTTTGTTGAGGGTTTTTTTTTTTCAGAAATGCTGCTTTTAAATTCCATTAAATTTCCTAAAATGTACAAAGTTTTCTCAAAACCTCTCCGCAGTGCATCCAAGTGTGCTGCTCAAACTAGGTCATCTGTAAATTTTCATCTGTCTTGGAAGAAAAGAGCATATCTTTGGAAAGATACATTTGTCTTGTTTTTCATGTTATTGCAACAATTATGATGTTTTTTCTGCTTTTAAAATTAAATTTCAAATGTCAGTCAGGGGATGAGGACCAGCTTACCTCTTGTTCTCCCCCATCATCCTCTCTCCCACTCACTGTCTGGAGGTCTGTCAAGCACCTAACTATAATCAAAGCCAGCCAGCGAGCCTCTACCCCGAGGGGTCACGTGGGCCAAGTCGTCTAGTGTCCTTCCACAACTAATAACGGCTCTCTATCATCATCTCTGTCCATCTCTCTCATCCCTCTGTCTCTGTGGTTACCCCGTAAGCTCCCTGCACCCTTCTGCTGGCTTGCTCCCGGCCGTTTTCATTGAGCCCAGCGGACTGAAAACAAGGGAACAGGATGATCCGGCCAAGAATATATGTGACAAGACAAGACACTTTCAGACAGTGAAAGAGAGACAGAAAGAGTGGGAAACCTTTGCTCTCCGCTTTCTAGAGAAATATGCTACAAGATAAAAATAGACGCTCCGATAGAGGTTTGAAATTCTGTTGGTTTATTAATGAAATCAAATACAGCTCGGAGCACAAATATCTACAAACACAAAATCTGATAATAGAGAAATAATAGGACAAAAGCAAAAGCTGTGTGCGCTCAAATCTATATTTGTTCAGTCAGTCCTTCTAAATATGGACAGTAAACAAGCAGACCAAGTGGCACCCTGTTCTTATCCAACTGCTTTCACATAGAGATTTATAATTAAAGCTGCATTAACTGATTTTTCGTTTACTTGGGGGCAGCAGAACAAGCTATAAACACAACATTAATGTTGTTATGATGAACATGTTCATGTTCATAACGGTTGCCCATTGATACAAACACCAGACATTCTATTTGAGTTGTGTTTGTGTCTGCCTGGCGACTCTCCAATAACCATGTTTTGAGCTCTGTTTTTGTTTCCATCAATTCTTGAGAGAAATATTTGCTCCATTGTAGAGGACCCAATGCAAATCTCTTGGGAGTAGGCAGTTTTTACTTTGCTGCTTGCCGGAGTGGGCTGAGTTATCTTGTGCCCATCAGATGGATGGAGACAGAGTCAACAAATGAAATTCAGTTTTTACAAAACCTGCCCAGTAGAGGTGACGTACTGCGAGATGAGCGGCTCACATTGGCTTTGCATTTTCGACTCATCTGTAGCAGGAAACAATGGCGGTTCGCCTGGACACACACCATCTCATATTACAGTGCACTCAAATGTGTTTCTAAAATGATTTTAGGTGAGAAATAGGCAATGCAGTGTCTTGTTTTGTGCGCTGCCTAGTTTGACAATTTGATCTGAGTTTTGTGCGCTGTGCTGGATGGACTCATGGAATGACTTGTCAGTCACAAGGTTGTCACACTCAAAAGCATACCCTGCTTTATCGTCTATTTAACTCTAAATTGGACCATAATTTATAAAAAAATAACATAATGCTGTATGGAAGAAGACTTGAAACTAGTGATTGAGACCATAAACTCATCAGAAAACAGGGGTCATTTCTCCATTAGAGTGCATGGTATGGTTTTTTATTGCAGCCAATGGAGCTGCCCCTGCCGGCCTTTACATAGAATGCAGGTTTCGGACACTTCTGCGTTGGCTTCACTTCACAGACCCCAATGCTCTGTCCATTGTATATACTGTCAATGTTACTAGCACAGTAAAATAACATCTTTTCACCTGCAGGACAGGAGAAGACACAAAATCTCTACTGTGTGTGAGTGAATGGTCAGAAATCCACTGGTAGTGGGTGGGAGCAGGATTAAGCAAACAGTTCTGCACAGGGCTTTACTTCATTGTTTTCACCAGCTTGTTGCCAACTTTGTCTATCTGTCATTTGATGCTGGGCAAGTAGTGTTGAAAATAGCTGCTTGCTGCTGCAGGATACTATGTTAATCAAAGCAGTGAGACTGAACAAAAGCACAAAATTTGTGGGCTTTAAACCAAAACAATGAGTCAAAAGAGGCTAAAAGCACCATAGAGCTGAAGTGAACTGCAGAGCTGGTAATAATCCTTTGTTGGTTAAACATCATAAGTGATCTATTTCACAGCAGATCCATTGTTAATATAAAACAATATTGATTACTGCAGCTTTAATGTGTTTTCAGTGGTCACTAATCTATGTCATAACTGCTATGGAACTTGCAGTCATTGACTTGAATTGTTATTATCTCATAAAACAGTGTAAATGTTTCCCTTGTTCAAAGGAAAATATGCTCACATTAATTAGTGACTGGTGTATTTGTATTGCGGGTTTAGGAATCAGTAGTGATATACAGGCAGACACTGTTGTGGTGTGCACTCAGATGCTGAGAACTGCTCATCAAAGCTTGCAACACAACACTGAGATATGATCTATTTTTACAACCTGTCACTCACCCGAAACCTAAAACTGGATGCTTGCAGAAGAGCCTGTGAGTCAATGACAGCTGAATTCATGTCAATATGAGGTAAGGGTGATGTGACAGTAAAATTATCCCTGAACAAATTTACAGAATTCATTATCAGCATTATCAGTGTGTTGTGTTGTGTGAGAAGTTTTAACGTTAATCTGCGATTTGGAGCAGCAGCAGCTTTAGCCGTTGCCCATAAAAGCTGTCTTGTACTTATTACGAGATAAAATCCCATAAAACACCAATGCAGCTGTGATTACAGTTAATTATATTATTGTCAAAGGACACATTTTGTTTCTTGCTGATCTGATATCTACAGACAAAGACAGAATTTTCTCACTCTATGTTAAGTGAAAAGTCCTCTAATCTCTTCAGCTTCTTGTTATGTATGTCCGTTTGGGTCACTGTGGTAGACCGGGCAAAGCCCTGCGGTGGACTGGACATAATCACCCACCTGCAGATAACTATGATGGAAGCTCTGAAGCTGTTTGTGTTATTATCATCTCAGAAAGCTGTTGTTGCATGGAGGAGCTGCATCTTAATGAGCTCAGAGATTCACCACACACAGAGAAGCAACAGGGAAATAAATATGAATAAACCCAAAAGAGCTTACTGGCCTCGGCCAACCTCCACTCTGAACATTGAGTTTGTAAAAGCTTTAAAATGTGCAATGGTTTCTGAAATGGGGCATATCGAAGTACATACCAAGAATCCATTGTGCCCACACAGTAAATGATGGGACGTTCAAATACCAGATTGTGGATCACTCTGAATGTTTGGTCTAGAATATAATCCTCTATCACATTTTTTTGCTTTCACAGTTGATAATCATGTCCTTCTAATTCACTGATACAGAGGAATTTGTTATATTTTCAACACTGCAGGGAAGTGTTTATGATTCAAAACCTTTAAATGAGAAACATGCATGTTTGTTACTACAAAAAAAATATCCTTGAGAAGGTGGAATCTCCAGTGGGTAAGAAAGAGACAAACC